GGATTTCCTGCGGCTCGATTTAGTAGGTCTTTCTCAAAAGTACGCCGCGTCCCGAGGATTAACCTCCTAACTAGGTTCCTCTGTGCTTTGTATGCATTTAACGACACATAGCTCCTATCCGAGAGGGATTTCCTCCATAACCCCCTCTTTTTATTCACTTCTTTTTTTAAAGCTTGTGTTAGCCACGGGGGTCTGCAATTTAGTTTCTTCCGTGAAATAGGACAGTGGTCTCTGAGAAGAACGTGCAGTAACTCACTAAACCAGTCCCAATCCTTGATTATGTCACCGGAAAAAGCTGATTCCCAGTTAATGGTTAAAGTTGTTATGCATGTGCTGGAAACTGGACATAAATTTACGTGGAACAAGATTCGCATGATAGATATTTATTCATCTAAGAACGGCCGAGACTTTTTTAGAGGCCACACATTTTGCCAACTTGTGTATCAATCGGCAGATCGAATTAGACGCCGTGTACAACAATTTCAATGAAAATGGAAGCGGTGACAGCTAGTCAGAACGTGACGTCAGGGTACAGTAAACGCTGGCTAGCAGGAGTGACAGCGTAATATCGATTTTTATGGCATGTTTACATTTTAACTGTCCTGCACACTTTCTTCACGTTTAAGAATGGCCTGGGGAACCAGGGTCAAAAATTTACGAAATAAGTTTTGTTGTCTTTACCAAAAGACTGATTTCTTTTGAATTAAACTTCTTGGGGTGCCCATTTTCCATTTCATATCTGTATTTGTTTGAAATCAAATACGTTCTTTGGGAAAGAGATAAAAATTTATTGAGTAAATTTTCGACGTCGGTTCCTCGTGTCGTCGTCAGACTAGAGTAAATGTGCAGAAAACAATTAAAATTTCAAACGTGCTACAAAATCAATACTCATTTGGTGCCTCAGCCAGTAAGCTGCCGTCGTATGCGTCGGTCCATATTGATCGGCTTTCGTCTCTTCCACCTTTCTCTGAGATTTTTGTACGCGGCATATAACTCGATATGCCTGTTGATGCATGATTCATCGGAGTGCATGGCTTCAAGAAACTCTCGGCCTTTCTTAGATGGCCAAACTCCGACGATGCAAGTTTTCTCCCATGCGAAAGTGTGCCCAGTATCAAGAGTGTGCATGGCCATTTGAGACAAGTGGTCTCGCCTCTTAACTGCAAGTTGATGTTCGTGAATGCGTGTAGAGGCAAATTTTCCCATTTGGTCACAATATACGGTATCACAGGCATCGCATGGGATCTTATAGACGACTTCTTTTCTATCGAGGTAGCCAACCCTATCCTTAAGGTGTACTGACACAACTGGAGAGAAAACCATGCTCTCTGTCCTCTGAAGGAATGCCAGCAATTACAAGGTATAATACCTGCTTTAAAAGATTAATGGCAAGATCAACCCGCATGCATATCAGGGAGGCTGATAATGACTATCTCGACCAAACTGATCCTATCAGTCTTCTTTGATATAGATCCTTCTCGGCAGCCTACCTCGGACTTAATTCTAACCTCAAGGTCAGTCCTGTGATTGGAGCAAGAAGGAAATGCGTATTCAAATGCCTCCATAAAGCTGAATGTTTTTTGCTTTCATACGTCGGACGATCTGCCTACCGATAGGCATGCAAAACGAATCGGTTTTAGACTTATTACTTCACCAGTTCCCCCTAGATTTTTTCACGTGGATCGCAGCAAACAGTCGATATTGCCAGTTTTCCCTGGCTGCTGCGACCACCGTCAGGATTATTGTCTTACTGGAACAATATTTTTATTGAGCTGGCGTTTCGGATTCTTACTCGAACCGATCATCCAAGACAATCGCAGATAAGGATACCGGAGGCACAAAGACTGCAGTATTTATTGTACGTAGCTGCCGTGGGACCATATGCGCACTATAATTAACAGCTCTCACATTCACCACTGGGGCTCGTCGTTGAGGCGTTGATGGCTGGTAAGTTTGCGTCCGAGTTGTTAATTGCCGCAGTTTCATTATCCGTGTTGGATGCTGACGTGATGATGACTCGGCAGTTTGGCCCGCGACCTCTCCACATGACTGATTCCCCTGCTCAGGGAATGTCTCATCACTGAACAGGGTGTCGGGAGGTCATTGTGCTGGTTGATGGATTTCAAGCCTTGGAACCAAAGCACACCAATGACACGACGCCGAGGAAAACTGACTCTTAACTACACATGCTTATTCCGCTTTTACGTTTTATCCTTAACCCCTTCAGTTAATAATCATCCTCTGCGTGATTATCCACAGCGTGACATCCTTGAGTTCCAAATGATAACGAATATTCTGGGCATAATCTAGCCCTGAGGTCAGATCGAAGAACCAATATTTTAAAAATGCTTAAATAAGACAGAGCACAGACAACACACCACTGACAGTGTGTACCTTTCACCACCGCCACGGCGAGTATCAAGCCGAATGACTGCGTCCTCTTGGCGTGAACGTCATAACAACACTCGAATAGGCCAATTTAATCAAGCCCACTATTGGTTCCTGCATAGTAGCGGACCCTCAGCTACTTACAAGTCCACAGCCCGATCTACCTCTCTGGCGCCTTATGTGGCGTCTAAACAGTGGATGTATTTAGAGCACCACAATAATCAGCGTCCAGCCGCGTTTTAGCGGGGAAGCGGAAACACACCAGGCGGAGTAGTGTGTTCTATACAGAGAAAGACTGTGGTTTCCAAAGTCGACGAAGCGCGACTGATTCTAG